CTTTTTTTTTTTTTTTTTTTTTTTTTTTTTGTCATGTTCCACACATTATTGTTTTATTATAATTATTCATTATTCTTATGAATTTTACTAAAACATGTATATATTTTATTTTTAGTCTATGTAATTTGATTTTAATAAAATAAATTTTAAATATGTAACATAAATTTATTATAATATTTTTTCTTATATTTATTTAGTAATTCTTATTTATATTCTAATTGATAATTAATTTTACTAATTACTTTTTATACTTTTTTTTTTTTTTTTTTTTCTTATCTATTTTTTCAACATTAATTAGATGAAAAATATATATATATAATTTATAATACTAAATATATATTGTTATCCTTTTTAAATTATTTAATCTTGTGATTTCTTGAAAAAAACAGAAACAAAATATTATTTAAATTTAAAGAAAAAAAATAAAATATGTAATTAAAAAAAAGCATACATTAATCGTAATATATTTATATTATTTTTTTGGTTTGGTAAACTTTTTTTTTAATATTTACAATATTTAGATATATGGAAATGGAATTAATATATATATATATATTATTTTTAATAATAAAAAATAAAGTTGTAAAAATAGACAAAGAATAAAATTATATTAATTATAAATAAGAATATATTTTAAGATAAAATGTTTTAAACATGTTTTAAAAATTAAAATGAATAAAGAAGTAAAAAAAAAAAAAAAAAAAAAAAAACAAAAAAATGATTTAGAGATATTTTTCAAGCTTTAATTTTACTTATAGTTAAAAAATGTTTTTTTTTTTTTAAGTATGCAATTTATTTTTTTTCAATAATACTAATGAAATTTTTTAAGAATAAATTTCATTTTTTCTTATTTTTTTTTTTTTTTTAGTCAAATGTATGAAATATAACTTTATACTTTTAACTTGTATTTTGTTAATTTTTAATTCAAAATCATTCTATATTAGGTAACTCAGGTTAAATGAAATAATTTCATTTAATTTTTTATTGGGAAAAAAGTTGTGCTATTTTTTAAGACATTTATTTATGCATAAAATAATTTTTCTTTGTTTTTAATTTTTTTTCTTAAAATTATTTTTCTTTGTTTTTAATTTTTTTTCTTAAAATTATTTTTCTTTTTAAATTTTTTTGCAAATTTTTTTTCATTTTTCTTTTTTGTAAAATTACGTTTAGTCCATTTTTTATCAACTTTTCTATTTTTATCATTTTTGTTGATACTTTTATCATTACTTGACTTTGAATGCTTTAAAAAAAATTCTTGTACATTTAAACTTTCTAAATTATTGTTTTTCTTTAGTTCATCAATTTTTTCTAAATTCTTTTTTTTTTGTATAGCCTCTTTTTGGTTTTTTACTTTAAGTGATCCACATTTCTTATTAAACTTTTTATTTATTCTTTTTAATTTGTTTTTTTCTCTTATTTCCGATTTTTCGTGATCTTTCAATATTTTTTGTCTTACCTTTTCCATATGTATATCGCTTTTTATCATATCTGCTAAAAAATCATATGGCCTATTGAATGAAATGTTTAAGTCTTGTAATTTTTTTAATGCTTCAATGAGATTTTTATGAGCTATTTGCAAAAATTCCTCTTCTCTTTTTTCACAATTACCAAATAAATTAATGTTTTTCATATAAAAATGTTCTGAACTAGTAATATCTAATTTTTCTAGCCATTCATTAGGATTATTTGATTTTAATTCTATTTCTTGTAGTTTTTTGACTAAAAGGACTTTATTTTGATTAAAATCTCCTAACTTATCATCACTTTCTTTGTATATTTCGTCATCCTTTATATCTCCGTTTGGTTTATTTTCAATTTTATTTTTTATATACTCATTTTTTAAATTAAATCCCATATTTGAATTATGCTTTTTATTTTTTTTTTTTTTAATTTTTTTCTTCTCTGTTAAATTTAAAGTACTTAATACAGACTTTACATCTTTTTTTATAATTTTCTTTACAAAATTTTTTCTAGCAATGTAATTATTGTTTTTCTCTTTTTTCATATTCTTTCTTTTTATTTCTATATCATTTGAAGTTTCATTATTGTTAAAGTTTTCTACTTTTTTATTATTTTTCTTTTTGTATGATTCTACATTTAAAGGAAATTTCATATCTCTCATTTAATAGAAAAAAAAAAAAAAAAAATTTAAAAAGAAATATATGTAAAAAATAAACTTTTTTTTGAGAACATGGATCTGTGAATAACTTTAATTAAATAAATATGTTTTAGAAAAAAATAATAAAAAAAAATTTTCAGTTGTAAAAATTTTGTTTAAAATAAAAATTTATTCTTTTTTTTTTTTTTGTTTTAAAACTATATCAATTTTATTCTTCCATTATAATAACATAATTATTTTTTTTTAAATGATTGTAGAATAAATTTTTTTTTTTTTTTTTTTAATATAGATGCTAAAATATTTTTAAATATTTGAATGATTTTTTTTTTGAATTTTATATGAAAATATGATTTTATAATATTACATATATATAAGCATAAAAATTTTATAAAATTTTTAAAAAGGATGTTACATTAATATTTTATATTTTAAATTGATTTATTATTTTAATTTTAATTGTTTTACATTTTATTAACTTAATTTTTAATACATTTTTAAACATATATAATTTTTTTTATTTTAGTTGTTTTAAGATATAATATATTAAATATATAGTTGTTTTTTTGAGATGGAGAATGAAAATAAAGAAGAAATTATTGATGAAATACAAGCAAAAGCTAAAACAAGAAAAGGAAATGTAATTTTAAAAAAAAGAGAAGGTGAGTTGAATGAAGATTCAAAATATTGTTTATTTATAAGTGGTAATAAAAGAACAGAGTTGTTAAAAAATTTCATGCAAGATATATATTCCTTACATAAACCATTAACTTGTTATATGCCAAAATTACATCAAAATTTATCAAATGTTTTAGATAAGATAGATAAATTAGTAGAATTGTGTGTTCATAATAATTGTTCCTTTTTTTTTTTAATATTTTCAACCAAAAAAAAACCATCAAGATTTCTTTTAGGCAGATTATATAATAATAAAATTCTTGATTATTATATTTTTTCACTTCTATCATTTATTCCTATTCACATTTTTCCATTATCAAAAGAAATTTTGTATGACACAAAACCAATTGTTCTAATTCAAGGATCCTATTTTGAAAAAAATGAAACTACAAAATATTTGAAAAATGTTTTGTTTGATTTTTTTAAGCATAAAAACATAGAAAGTTTTTCAAAAAATAGTATACAAAGGCTTATAGTAATAACTGCTTATGAGTCTAAAAAAAATATTAATAACAGTAATAAAAATAATAACGAAAATAAATATATTTTATCATTTCGTCAATATTTATTGAAAAAAGAATTTTTTGATTTAAAAGAAAAATATACTTTAAATGAGATAGGACCTCAATTTGAATTTATCTTAGAAAATTGTAAAATACCAGATTTTAATATATTTCAAGAAGCATTAAAAAAACCACAAATACCAAAGAAAAGAAAATCAGATAAAATAAAAGTTGATGAGTTTGGAAATAATATTAAGAAAGTTTATATTCAAAAACAAAATTTTAGTAAATTACATACAAAACATACTAAAGTACTTAAAAAAGGTAATTATAATAAAAAGTAATAAAATTAATATCTTAAAAATTGAGAAAATTATCTTATAGAGTTACATATATAAACTATAATTAAATATACCACATAATAATACTCAAATTTATATGAAATTAATTTTTAATTTAAAAAAAATAAAAAAATTATTTTTATTTATTCCTTAAATGCTATTGTGTTATTTTTATATGTTTATAATATTTCTATTTAACTTTTTTTTTTTTTTTTTTCATACACACTAATTAAGAAATAATAAAAAAATAATAAATTGTTTGCATCTTATGTTTTTAAATTTTTTCTAATTTTATTTGCTACTTTTAAAAAAAAGGTTTAAATCACAAAATTTGATATATTAACAAAAAAAAAAAAAAATAAAATAAAATAAAATAACATAAAATAACAATCAGTTTTTTAAAAAAATAAAAAAAAAAAAAAAAAAAGTAAATTAAAAAAACAAAAGAATAAAATAAAGCTGATTAAAAATAGTACTTTAAAAAGTATTCCTAAAAAATTTATATATTTGAATTATTTGTATCAACACAAATAAAAATGGGAAGAAAAAAAATAGTTTATATTATTTCATTAATATGATACCCCTTATTTTTTAAAGATTTCCTTATAGATAAAACTCGCAAAATTTGTTCATTTGGCCAATTTAACATATCAGTGTACTTACTTACTAATATGTTTTGAAGAATAGATTTTTGATTAATTATTTCATTTAGTAAATCTTCATCTGCATTTGGAATATTATTTAAAGATATCTTTAGTTTATTTAAAAGCATTTTTAAATGTACATTTATATTATCTTCCTTCTTAGATTTTATATTTAAAGAATCACTTTTTACATTGTTAATATTTATATTTTTTACTTTAATGATTTTTTCTTCATTTAGTTCTTCATTTTTTTTTCTATCTATTAATTTTATAGATCTTCGTGGGTTATTTGATGTTTTTATTTTCTGCATTAACTTTTTACCATATTCTAAATTTTTATCATTAGTATTATTTAAATTTTTATTATCATCATTATTTAAATTATTATCACTATTATAATTACTGTCATTATAATCATCCATAATATTATTACCATCATTATTCTTCAAATTGTTGGAATCATTATTATTCATATTTTTATCATTTAAATGTAAATTTTGAGATGGCTTATTAAATTTATTTCTTTTACTTACCTCCAAAGAACAATTTATATAATCATTCTTATTTTCATTTTTTAAACTATTTGAACTATTCATATGAATTTCCTCACTTACTTTATTTGTATTATCCATATTAGTTTCATTACTTATTTTGTTAGTTTCTCCTTTATTATATAAAGGGTACTTATATTTTTTTAAATTAACGTTATTGTTATCACTTATATAGTTTTTTTTTTTTCTTCTTATGTTACTACTGCAATCACTTAAATTACTACTGTTATTATCACAATTATTTTGTCTATCACCTAATTTAGCATTTTTTATACTTTTATTTACTTTTTCATTCTCATTTTTATAAAAATTATTTTTATCATTTTCATTTATTTTAGATATATTTTCATTATCTAAATTGTTAAAATTGTTATAATAATTATTATTTTTCTCACTTTCATTAAATTTTGAACTATATGAATTATCACTATTGTTAAAATTATAATAATTGTTATATTTATCATTTTCATTTATTTTAGAAATATTAATATTATCAGAATTTTTTATGCTATCACTTACATTAACATCATTATTGTTAAACTCATAATCAGAATTTTTATTATAATTATTTATATATGTATTGTTTTCGTTTATAAAATTTTCTTCATTGTTATAATTAAGATTTCTATTTTTAAATTTGCTTTGCATAAAATCTTTATTTTTAAAATTATAAGGAATCTTAACATTTTTTTCATTTGTGTTATCAATGATTCTATTTGAATTCTTAAAAGAATTTTTAATAGATTTATTATTGTATGAATTGCTAAAAAAGGACACAGTTTTCATATTTTTGTGATTTGTGCCTTTGCTTTTACTTATTTTATTCATAAATGAGTTTCCTTTACTTTTATCTGTAGTTAATGTTATATTATTATTGTTACTATTAGCATTAGTAGTAGCGTAATAACTTTTATTTATATACTTTTTTTTGGTTGTTGTATCAGAGTTATTTTCATTTACATTATTTTCACTCATCTTAAGATTTTGTTTATAATCATCTTGCTTAGAACTCTTATTTAAATTATTATATGAAAATAAATTTTTGCCATAATAATTGGTGTTTTTAATATTAAGATAGTTATTCCTTGCATTATTTCTGCTATTTATGATATTAACCGATTTTTCATTATTTTTACTATTATTCAATTTCATATTTTGTATGTTGCTATATGTATCATATTTTTTCTTATATAAAGAAAAATTATAATTCGTATTTACTGATTCATTTTGTTCATCACTAATTTTTCTTTTCTTCTCACTTAAATAAATATCTTTATCATCATTTTCATTTAATTCATAGTTTCTTTTTTTTTTTTTTTCTTTATTGTCATAAGAAGAAATATTATCTATTTCTTCTTTTATCATTTCTTTCATTTTTTTATGATTATTTTTTTTTTCTTCTTCTTCTTCGTCCTCCATTTGGTCTATATATAAATACTGAAAACGATTTTTAATTTTATAAAAATTGCTTTTTTCAATTTCTTCATTATTTAATGGATTTATTTCAATATTTAATATTCCTAAAAGAAAAAGAGCATGAACTAATGAATAATAAATTGTTTTATTTTCATTTAGCATTTTAATGGCTGTTTGTGGAGATATACGAACTAATTCTTGAATTTTTTTAATTAAAAGTACTATATCATACATATTCATATTTTTTATAATTAAAAAGCCATGTTTTGTTATTTCTCCTTTTTCATTTATTATTTCAATATTTTTATTTAATTTTATATTATTATGTTTGTGCATATCTTTATATACTTCATTATTTTTATTTATAGGTGTATTTGTGTATAAATTTAAATTTTGACATTCTTCATTATAATATTTATTTTCATATTTATAATTGTCACTTTCATCTTCAGTATCATTTTCATCTTCTAATAACTCAATTGATATTTTTTGATTTTTAAACTTATTGTTTTCCACAAAAGACAATATATCTTTTTTATCATCTTTAAAACCTAAATAACCATGACTACTTTTTATACCAAATTCATTTTTCTTCAATCTATAAATAGGAAAAAATTATAACAGAATTACAATGAAAGTTAAAAATTCTAATAATCAATAAAGTTATTAAATTTTTTTTTTTTTTTTTTTACTTGCAATAGATAAGTTCCGCTTTTGGAGAAAAAAAATCTTTTAATTCATTTTCTGTAACTTCTAAGGGCAAATTTGATACTAAAAAAAAAAAAAAAAAAAAAAATGATATGTAAATATATAATAATATAATTAACTTATTTGAAAAAATAGCATTTTTTTCTTCATGAAGAAAAAAAAAATGTCTTTGTTATCTATGAATATATATAATTATAGGTACGTAATACTAAAAATGAAAAACGTAAGTAAATATAAGTAAAGCTAAGCAAAGAAGCATATGAATAACTGTTTATACATACTAATATATATGTATATATACATATATATATATATTGATATATATTGATATTTCATTTTATATCTTATAAATATATCATTTATGGTAAAATGATGAGAAAAAATAAATATGTGGAAGGTTTTTTTTTAAAAATGTTAATTATATAAAAAAATCTCACCAAAAAACATATTTATATCTTCGTTATCTACCATTTAAATAATAATTCTCTGATATAACAATAATTTTAATATAAAAAAAAAAATAAATGATTCATCGAATATATTATAAGGGAGATTAACATTTTTTATTAAATATAACTTTTTCCTAAAAAAAAAAAATTAAATATTTTCTACGATTCAATTCTATTTTATATATATATTTTAATTTATATTAAATATTGCAACAAATAAAAAATAAAAAAATAAAAATAAACTTCTAATAAATTTTTCTATCTACATTTTTATATTTTTTAATTTTTATAACAATCAGCACGCTATGTTTTTTGTTGATTATTTCAAAAAAAAATATTCAAAATTATTTTTATTTTTTTAAATGCATTAAATGATTCAAATCTTTTAATTTATAAAGATAAAAATATTGAAGTAAAATTATTTCATATATGAAAAAAATATATACCATAAATATTTTTTTAAAAATTTTATAGATATTAATTCAAAAGACAAAAAAATATATTTGTTTTAATTTTATTGATAATCATTAAATTTTTATTAAATGAGTGTATTCGTAAAAATAAAAATAAAACATTGCTTTACACATATAAAATTAAATAAAAGGAAAAGAAAGTAAAAACATAAAAATATTAAAAGTATAACAGATATATTTTTATTAAATTTAAAAATGTTTGAAGTAAAATGATATAGAATTGATTAAAAATAAAATGAAACAATTGAATAAATATTTATGTTATCAAAGATATATAACTAATATTTTTTAAAATTTAAAATTATTCAACAATTGCATTTGAATAACTTTTGAAAGCTCTTAATAAATATAGTATAATTGTTAAAAAAAAAAGAAAAGTTGGAAAATTTTATTAAATTATTATTAATTTGTGCTTTGTATAATTTGAAGAAGTATTTTTAAAACAAAAACTGTATATGAAAATATATTACGAAATATAATTAACTTTTATTCTATAATTTGTACCAAGTTTATATTTGTATTAATATAGAAGAATTATAATATTAAATATATTATTAAAATAAATTTAAAAAAATAAAGAAAAAAAAAAAAAAAAAGATAATAATCCATAAAATAAATAAATGTATATTTATATTCTTCTTTGTTTTAATTTTTCTAATAGTTCTTTATCACCAGTAGGCATAACAGGTTTGGCCCCAATTAAACTAAGAAAATTATTTACAAAAAATAATTTAATTTTAAAAAAATAAATATATATAAATACATACAATTTATATGTTAAAAAAAAAAAAAAAAAAAAAAAAAAAGATTATATAAAGCATATAAACAATTGTCTTTTTTTTTTTTTTTTTTTTTTTTTTTTTTTTTTATTTTTTTTTTTTTTTTTTTTTTTTTTTTAA